TAGAGGGGTGAGTAGTGGTAGGCGAGGTGGTAGAGGGGTGAGTAGGGGGTAGGTGAGGTGGTAGAGGGGTGAGTAGGAGGTAGGCGAGGGGGTAGAGGGGTGAGTAGGAGGTAGGCGAGGGGGTAGAGGGGTGAGTAGTGGTAGGCGTGGTGGTAGAGGGGTGAGTAGGGGGTAGGCGAGGGGGTAGAGGGGTGAGTAGGGGTAGGCGAGGTGGTAGAGGGGTGAGTAGGGGGTGGGCGAGGGGGTAGAGGGGTGAGTAGGGGTAGGCGAGGTGGTAGAGGGGTGAGTAGGGGGTAGGCGAGGGGGTAGAGAGGTGAGTAGGGGTAGGCGAGGTGGTAGAGGGGTGAGTAGGGGGTAGGCGAGGTGGTAGAGGGGTGAGTAGGGGGTGGGCGAGGGGGTAGAGGGGTGAGTAGGGGTAGGCGAGGTGGTAGGCGAGGTGGTAGGCGAGGTGGTAGAGGGGTGAGTGAGGTGGTAGAGGAGGGGTGAGTAGGGGGTAGGCGAGGTGGTAGAGGGGTGAGTAGGGGGTAGGCGAGGTGGTAGAGGGGTGAGCGAAGTGGTAGAGGGGTAAGTAAGGGTAGGCGAGGTGGTAGAGGGGTAAGGGTAGGCGAGGTGGTAGAGGGGTGAGTAGGGGTAGGCGAGGTGGTAGAGGGGTGAGTAGGGATGGTAGCGGAGGGACGGAGTGGAGGGGCGAGGCGAGGCAAGAGGACGGGAAACGTGGCAATCGAGAAGAGACGAGGCTTTAGGGGAGGAACGGAAGGAGGCTAAGGAGGTGGGCTCTGCTTGGTGTACCACACTGAGCAGGTGTCTCGGAAGAGGTGGCCATGCCCACACCCCCCCCCCAGCCAACCAGTAGCGTAACGAGCGTGCCGGGCAGGCAGGGGCTGCCTTGCCCCCGCCCCTACTCTGATAGCCAAAGCTGTTGGGGAGCAGCACCCATGAAGGCCGGCACGGTACACGAGGGGGGTTGGTGGCCAGCAAACACGCCCGACCGCCTTTGTCTCCCCAGTGGCGATGTTTTTACACACCGCGCCCGGTACAAATTTGAGGCTGAGTGGACCTAGGGGAGGCCCGTCACCGGTTCAGATAGTAGTCACTGGGTGTTGGTGGCCGTGAGCGGGAATCGAACCCGAGTCGCCGGGTTCGTAGCGCAGCGCGCTAACCGCTATACCTCCGCTCCCCATACACACACACACACCGGATATTATGACTTCAGTTTGTTTTAATTGCACATTTAGAAGGGGGAAATAAAGCCTTATAAACCAGAAAATTCTTAGGGCTGGCGTCGGTGTTCATGCGTAATGTGTGCACAGGGTGTGTGGGCCTCACAGCGGCACGGGCAGCAGCACCCACCCACATCTCAGCGCGTAGCTTGCGCCACCACCATCACCACCATCACCATAATCATCACCACCATCACCACCATCACCACCATCATCACCACAATCACCACCATCATCACCATCACCACCACCATCACCACCATCATCACCACCACCACCATCACCACCATCACCACCATCATCACCACCATCACCACCATCACCACCATCATCATCACCACCATCATCACCATCACCACCATTATCACCACCATCATCATCACCACCATCACCACCATCACCACCACCATCACCATCATCACCACCATCATCACCATCATCACCACCACCATCACCACCATCACCATCATCACCACCATCACCATCATCACCACCATCACCACCACCATTACCACCACCGTCACCACCACCATCACCACCATCACCACCACCATCACCACCAGTAGCTGCAGCAGCGCGGGCACGTCAACGCGACTGAAGTTGAACCACCGTTCATTATTGTGTCGGGGGGAGGGGCACACAATGACTCGAGATGTGGACGGCAAAGGCGGCGACAGTGGTTTAACCGCACGCGTCTCGCAGCAAGGCAGGCGCCTGGGTTGGATTCCCCACTCGGGTGCCATCTCCCCGCGTGTAGATTGCGCGTCCCCCCCCCCCCCCCTGTTCGGCCTTGCGTGCGTGAACGTGTGCACGTGTGTGTGGAGTTTCTACGCTCTCCCCATGTTACGCAGCGTGTGTGTGCATGTGTGTGGTTTGTAAGCTCTCCCCATGTTACGAAGCGTGTGTGTGCACATGTGTGTGGAGTTTGTACGCTCTCCCCATGTTACGCAGCGTGTGTGTGTGTGCATGTGTGTGGAGTTTGTACGCTCTCCCCATGTTACGCAGCGTGTGTGTGTGTGCATGTGTGTGGAGTTTGTACGCTCTCCCCATGTTACGCAGCGTGTGTGTGTGCATGTGTGTGGAGTTTGTATGCTCTCCCCATGTTACGCAGCGTGTGTGTGTGCATGTGTGTGGAGTTTGTATGCTCTCCCCATGTTACGCAGCGTGTGTGTGTGCATGTGTGGAGTTTGTACGCTCCTCCACCCCCCCCCCCGGTTCTGGGTGGGTTTCCTCCGGGGTCTCCGGGTTTCGGCCCCCACGTTAAAGCCAAACCAAACGTATCGGCCAGCAACATCATAACGCTCTACACGTGCCTGCAAGCGACTCAACTGTGATCACACAACACAACACAGAAGCAGCATCATCACACCCCTATCCCCCAACTGCAAATCACCTGTCCACAGGGCCCCCCTGCAAACATCTTGAGACTCACTGTGAGGCTTCTCTGGGTAAACAAGCGAAATAAATATAATAATTAACAATAATAATTGTTAATAATAGAGGAACCAGGAAGCCAGAATTATTTCCTGTTTGCTGACCTGATGTTGCTTGACGCAGCTGCAATCGGAACGTCGCGGAATCCGAACCCTTAATTCGGTCCGCGAAGGATTTCTCCCCGGCCAAAACCAATGACGGCTCGCGCGGTTAAAACGCTCGCACACGTGACCAATAATAATCTTGCTTGGCTGTGTCGGGTGGAGGAGGGCATTGAAGGCACAAACCTGGGTCAGATAGCCTGGCTTGAACGCAACAATCGATTGCGCATCGCATGAGCCCGAGAAATTCAATGCGTGAGGTTAAATCTGCGGGTTTTTGCCGTATTCCCTGGTATAACAAGATGCTCCGGCAAGTAAGACGCACCCCGAATGAACGTCATTCGAGTCCAAAACGCCACCATCGCACCTCCTGGCTTAGACATTCCTCATCCTCCTCGAAAACACCGGTGGTGGGACCGTGAAACGCAGTGGGGATGCGAGATGCCCTTTCTTGGGGGGGGGGGGGGGGTGGCGAGACGTGGCCAGATCTTTTTAGAAGGTAAAAAAAAAATCATCGAAAGCACAAATTAAGCACAAGTTAACACCTGACTTTGTTTCGTCAAACCCCTGTGCGTTTATGAACATTGCCACATTTGTTGTTGTTAAGAGATTGAGAACCCAAGGGGGTACAAGGCTGCAGGAAAGGTTAAGAACCACTGCTCTAACGCATCAGAACATCACCGACGCACAGATCGCCTTGATTATTGGAAGTGCTATTATTAAAGACGCGAGCCACAAGAGTGGGGACGTGGCTGCACAACCCAAACTATGGGCCATACCAAGTGAACTCAGAGATACCCATAGAGACACACAGATACATAAAGATACGCAGACACCCATAGAGACACACAGAGATACATAGAGATACGCAGACACCCATAGAGATACACAGAGATACATAGAGATACGCAGACACCCATAGAGACACACAGAGATACACAGGCATCCATAGAGACAGAGTTGCATAGAGACTCGTAGAGATACTCATATACCCATAGAGACACACAGAGATACATAGAGATACGCAGACACCCATAGAGACACACAGAGATACACAGGCATCCATAGAGACAGAGTTACATAGAGACTCATAGAGATACGCATATACCCATAGAGACACACAGAGATACATAGAGATACGCAGACACCCATAGAGACACACAGAGATACACAGGCATCCATAGAGACAGAGTTACATAGAGACTCGTAGAGATACGCATATACACATAGAGACACACAGAGATACATAGAGATACGCAGACACCCATAGAGACACATAGAGATACACAGGCATCCATAGAGACAGAGTTACATAGAGACTCATAGAGATACGCATATACCCATAGAGACACACAGAGATACATAGAGATACGCAGACACCCATAGAGACACGCAGAGATACACAGGCATCCATAGAGACAGAGTTACATAGAGACTCATAGAGATACGTATATACCCATAGGACACACAGAGATAAATAAAGATACGCAGACACCCATAGAGACACACAGAGATACATAGAGATACGCATATACCCATAGAGACACACAGATATACATAGAGATACGCAGACACCCATAGAGACACACAGAGATACACAGGCATCCATAGAGACAGAGTTACATAGAGACTCATAGAGATACGCATATACCCATAGGGACACACAGATATACATAGAGATACGCAGACACCAATAGAGACACACAGAGATACACAGGCATCCATAGAGACAGAGTTACATAGAGGCTCATAGAGATACGCAGATACCCATAGAGACACACATATATATACATAGAGGGTCATAGAGATACGCATATATCCATAGAGACACGTAGTGATACGGAGACTCATAGAGACACGTAGAGATACAGAGACTCAGAGATAGAGTAATACACCGATGTAGTCTCCTTTAACGTCGTTTCTCAAATACGTCGTCGCTTTATTAACACCACTACCCAAATTAGCGTCGCCTCACCCCCCCCCCCCCCCCCCCCCCCCCACTCTCACGTCGCTGACAGCATCGTAGCCCCCGTCGTTTCTCGTTACACGTCGCCTCTACTACCACCACCACCACCGCACTGCTACCCCTGTACATCGCTTCCATTGACGTTCCAATATTCATCGTCGCACCTTTAAGGAACACATCCCCGGTGTAAACCGGGGTGTTGCTGGTGCACAGACACTCACAGAGCAGAAACATCAAAGAAGATTTTTCCCCGCGGGAGCCGGTGGCGAGTCACGTGGCCAGTTTCAGCAAGCTGACATCGGCGAGCCAACGCGAGCGTTCGGTTGTATTTATTGTACGTACGTTGAACTTCTTTCGCACCGTACGTAGCCAACCGCGCTAATCGGACGTGCGGGGGAAGGACAACAAACCAAACACAAAAAGCAGTTCTAAAGAAATTAGTTTTCGACCTAGATTATTTAACAGTGCATGGCTCCCAGTGGATTCCTATTATCGGGAAGAAGAGCGTTCCAGACGGCCGCGGAAGCGCTTCTGAAAGCGCCGCGCGATGCATTGACCACCGTCTTTGTTCGATGGCTAGCCAAACATCGCTGCTGCTGCTGCTGCTGCGAGGATGAGCGGCGTTCGCGTGACGGTGGTTTATGATTAGAGATCACAACCGGAACTTCGCTGTCGCGATCTCTGCTGTTGTTGCTGTTGTTGTTCAAAACAGCATCACAGACGGCTAAGGTGTCCCACTGGGTGTGAGAGAGTTACCATCGCTTCTCGACGCCTCTTTGCCAGGCCTAACCCTCACCCCGTACACGATATAACCCTAAGAGCCAGAACCCTAATCCTAACGACGCTAACTCTAACAAACCATCCTTGACGTCACGTGGGCCTGTCGACATCTCACCCAGAGTTCACGTCACGGTGACATCGTTTTCGCACGTGTGTCGAACGATGTGCGCTCGTTTACACGTGGCGCGAAACGCACAACACCAACCGCCTGACCGTGGGAGGTCGCTCCCTCTGTTCTGCTGCTCCCCTCGGGGTCCGGAATTCCCATCTCTAAATCCAGACGAGAGTCCCCACCTCTCCCTGGCTGCGAGGAACCACAGACGAGGAGCGGGCAGGAAGCAGCAGCAGCAGCAGCCACACGATTGCCCCAGGCTCTGCGGTCCTCTATTCATCAAGGTGTTATCGGCCAGAGGCGCGAGGAAGAACCACAGACGAGGAGCAGAAAGGCAATAGCAGCAGTAGCAGCCATGCGGCAATGAGCCGGCACTTTCAACGATCGCCTCAAGCTCTGCGCTCCTGCATGTATGAGGGTGGTATCGGCCAATCGATAAGCGCTTATACACGTCGGAGGAAACAGGAGCGCCCGGAGAGAACCCCAAGCGTGCGAAGGGAGAAACACTCGATCCCCGTACAGACGGAACATGTGAGAGTCCACATTTGCTGCACTACCATTCCCCGCCTAGCCTGGTTAGGGCACTTTTGACGCCCGCGAGGCATGGCTGCGGCGATCGACCAACCCTCGCCGCATCACAATGTCGGGTTGTAGGCCACGTGCGCAGCTACCGACCACCCAGTTTGATAAGTTCACATTGTTTTTGTTTATTGTAAAAATATCAAGTTCTGCGTGGAGCGGCGGTGCTTAACCTTAACTGCAGCCTTGCACACATTTGAATCTCAATCGTTATAAAAAAAAACATTTTTACAATGTTAATAACTACGTAGGGTTTGATGAAACAAAGTAAGTTGTAACGTACGTGGCCCGTGCTTAATTTGTGTTTTCGAAAATCTGGCCACGTTTCGCCAGCCCCCAGAAAGGGCATCTCGCATCCCCAGGGGGTGCAGCGTGCAGCACCAGGTTAAGAAGAAGCACTGCTTTAGAGTTTCACGGGTATACAGCGCGGCCCTCCCGTCTGCGCTTGAACGGCACATGGAGCGAAACGTCGGACATCGCGCCGAACCCAGGATTTACTTTCAGCTGGAATGGTCCGGAACACCGTACCTGGAATTGTTTCGGCACGCCACAAGCATTTCAGCTAATTTCGTCCTTCATATATTTATAAACCTGTTCACATGATTATAGGAATATAGGGCACAATAATATAGTATTATGGATAGGCGTACGTTCTATTTTAGTGGTAGTGCCTTATGCCAATAATCCAAGTCAGGTTGATGGTTGTCTCAAACCCCAGGGTGATGTGATGCGCCTACTGCAGTAATCATGATTAGCTTAGGTGCATGCCCGCTTGCTTGCTTGCCTGCTGCTCTGCTTGCATGGCTCGCTTGCTTGCTACGTTCTGCTACCCATGCTGTCAAACGCTGCCGCTGGCTAGCCGTCATGGTGAAACAGGCAACCGAGTGCGTAAAGTCTTCCTTGCCAGTCCAGAGCCTCTCCATCACCAGGACTCCCACTGTGCCTCTCCGTTGGCAGCCCACGGCAACCGGCGAATCGCGACACCGGTGCTAAAACCGCCTGGGGATCTCGGAGCTGCAGTGGTCCCCAGAGGCATCGACAACCGCCAACCACTGCCCCACTGCCTTGTGGGTAAACTGTGGCTCGGGGAGAAAACCCACGACTCCGAATCCGTGGTGGGGACCCGCGACGGCGGTGTTCAACAAATCGCATCTCCGGCAGTCCTCCTGCAGCTCTGGCCGGAAGAAGGTCGTGGTGAGTTCCTCGTGAAGATGGTGGGCGTAGGGACTGCGCACCCCGACCCTCACCTTAATCCACTCCTTGCTCCGGCAGGCCAAAGGACGCGACTGGGAGCATCCAGCCACACTCTGCACCGTAGGAGGCGATGGAGTTGCAGGTCGCCGAGACACGCGATAGGGGCAGCGTCGTGTCTCCTCGGCAGCTTCGACCGTGTCAGAGCAACCCACCCCCACCCTGCACTTCTTCTTCTTACGTATGGCATTGTGAAAAGCAACGGTTTTTTTATTTCTTCTTAATGATCGTCGTAAATTAATGCAAAGGTTCCTCATCCAGTCCAACGATCGTGGTTGGCGCAGTGTGGATAACCCCCAACACTGCTCACCCCTGACGGGGAAGGGCCTAGAAAATGTGCTCGAAAAACTGTCCGTTCCACTCGCTCGGGGCGGTTGAGCCGCTACCACCGGAGCATCCCATTCAGCGGCCGAAACTCAAGGGGAACCCAAGACTCGTTAACTCCTTCAAGCTGCTCCACGGAGCGTTCGCACCCTCCTGGACTCCAGCGACAAAGCCGACAGGCCGCACAGAAGCACAGCCCTCGCGGCCCACGAACTCAGAGAATACAACCTGGACGTACGGAGTTCCACGCGCACTGAGATCCTCACCAACATCGAGTCATCCTGCATTGAGGCGAGCGTGGCTAAACGACACCGCCGCTGGCTCGGCCACGTCACCCGCGTGCCCGATTACCGCCTCCCCCCCCCCCCGTCGAGTTCTCTACGGTGGGGGCGGGGGGGGGCAACTCAGCGCAGCCAAACGCTGCGCTGGAGGACAGAAAAAACGCTTCAAGGACCACAGCAAGGACCTGCTGAAGCGCTGTAACATCGATCCCTCAAGCCTGGAACCCCCTGGCGCTGGACAGGTCCACCCGGCGGTCCACATGGCGGTCCACCTGCGCCAGAGGGTTCAGCAGCAGCTGGAAGACGCCGTCTCACAGAGGAGATGTGAGAGACGCACCCAGAGACACCAAGGCGCAGCTGGCATAACGCCATCCGACACCCACGACGCACACCGCGTGTTCCATCTGGGGCAGAGCGTGCGGCTCTCGCATCGACGTCCACAGCCATCCACAAGAGAAGCAATCGTCATCATCGTTTTTGATGGAGGTGGCGCCCAGAGGCGGTGCCCGGAGGTGGTGCCCGGAGGTGGGCCAGGAGGCGGTGCCCGGAGGTGGAGCCGGAGGTGGGGCCTGAGGTGGTGCCTGGAGGTGGGGCCGGAGGTGGGGCCCGGAGGTGGAGCCGGAGGTGGTGCCCGGAGGTGGTGCCGGAGGTGGTGCCTGAGGTGGGGCCGGAGGTGGTGCCCGGAGGTGGGGCCGGAGGTGGGGCCTGAGGTGGGGCCTGAGGTGGTGCCTGGAGGTGGGGCCGGAGGTGGGGCCCGGAGGTGGAGCCGGAGGTGGTGCCCGGAGGTGGTGCCAGAGGTGGTGCCGGAGGCGGTGCCGGAGGTGGTGCCGGAGATGGTGCCGGAGGCGGTGCCGGAGGTGGTGCCCGGAGGCGGTGCCGGAGGCGGTGCCCGGAGGTGGTGCCGGAGGTGGTGCCCGGAGGTGGTGCCGGAGGTGGTGCCGGATGGGTGGGGCCGAGGGCGGCGCCTCGGGCGTCTCAGAAGTCTCAGAAGGATTTGCTGCCCTGGGACACCGGCGAGATGCCGTTGTTCAGCACCTCGGCCAGCTCCTGCGCACGAGCGGGGGCGGGGGGGGCACAACGAGAGAGCCGCGAGTGGCGGATCATGGAGGTCGCACGCATGTGTTCACCATGCGTGCATCGTGCGTGCGTCATGTGTACATGACGCGTGCATCCATGTGTGGGTGATGTGTACATAATGAGTGCGTCACGTGTACATCGTGCGCGCACAACGTGTACACGTTACAGCCATCTGCCGATCAACTGCTGGACGAGGGCCTCCCCACGTGGAGGTTTGTTTGACCATACTTCACCGCGCTGGTCAGCGTGGCTTGGTGAAGACGGAGTTGCCCGGTACCGGTGTTCATCAGGGTCACACTGAGTACCCCACTGAGTCTAATTTTACTTTTTTTTAATTTAATTTTACCAGGTAAGGCGCCACTAAGCCGTGTAGCTCTTTTTCAGAAGCGACCTGGCCATCACGAATGATAGCTCAACGAAGTTGGCTTATCATCATCACGTGGACATGTCTAGCAAGTAGCCGCCAAATACTCTGAGCCAAGAAGCTCTCTTTTTCAGCCGGGTTTTCATCAACAACAACAACAAACAATCACCGCCTAAATCAATAACAAATAAGAGAAATTAAAATACAAAAAATCTCAGCAAATCATAATCGCAGTGCCAAAAAATTATTGCGATTGTGATTTGAGAAACGGGAAAAAATATAAACTCATGCGTGTATTAAAACAAAACAAAAGACTTCGTTTTTTTACTGGACCAGGTAAGAAGGGCCCCTCTGAGTTATGTAGATTTATTTTTCAGAAGCGACCTGGCTATCACGGACGATAGCTCCACGAGGTGGCTCATCGTGGAAATTTATAGCAGCCAAATACTGGAAACGCGCGACGTTGATTATAAATATGGAGCGGAAGAAAGACCCACGCGACCACGGGGAGGGAGAGACATCGCAAACTCCAAATATGCAGCAACAGGCGTCAGGGTTACAGGGGAGGTGGGAAGGAATAAACTCAGCTATAAAGAAACGAGATTGCCATCATCTAGACGATTCCTAATCTCGGAAGGAGGAAGAGCGTTCCAGATGGCCGCACAAGTGCATCTGTATGCGCGCGACGATGCGGTGACCACCGTCTTTGTTCGATGTGCTGAGCCAAAAGACGTTGCTGCTGCGAGGACGACCGGAGTCTCGCGTGACGGTGGTTCATGCTCCTTGACGAGATCGGCGAGGTACCCGTGGTTCATTTGTTGGCGAGCACTTCGCGTGTAATGAGCGCGACCTTGCGTGTGCGCGAGTGCGTGCTAGCGCGCATGTGCGTCGAAGCATCTTTCACTCCGTGCGTGGCCAACCGCGCCAGCCGGGGGGTGCGGACGCGCCCGCCTGCCTGCCTGCCTGCCGGCCGGGGCGCGCCCGCACCGAGCGGGCGCGCCCCGGCCGGCCGGCGAATGCGAGCGGCACCTTCTCGGTGAGCTCGTGCGTGTGGTGCAGCGAGTGCTCCATCTCCACGAACATGCGGCGCTGCTCGTTGCGCGCCAGGCGGCACGTGAGCCACGCGGACGCGGCGCAGCCCGCCACCCCGACGCCCGCCACGCTCAGCGACGCCACCGCCACGCGCCCCTCCGGTCTCGGCCGCCGCGGCGGTTGCGCAACCGGGCCGGAGGCGGCTGCTTCGGCGGCTGTCGCCGACGCTCCGAGTGTCGCGCCAGCTGTTGTCCCAGCTGTTGCCCCAGCTGTCGCGCCAGCTGTTGCCCCAGCTGTTGTCTCAGCTGTTGCGCCAGCTGCCTCACCAGCTGTTGTCCCAGCTATCCATCCAGCTGTTGCACCAGCTGTTGCGCCAGCTGTCTCACCAGCTGTTGCACCAGCTGCCTCGCCAGCCGTCGCCGCGACGGCCCCAGCTGGGGCCGTCGCGACAGCGGTGGCGGTGAGGTTTGGGGAGGTGCCCCCGGAGCGGTCGTGCACCCACACGAAGCGGAAACTCAGGATGCCGGCGATCAGTCCGCAGATGCAGAGAGCAGAGAAGAGAATCATCTGGGCAAGGGGGGAGGAGGAGAGGGGGTGGAGCAGAGGGGGGGAGGAGGGGGAGGAGGAGCGGGGGGAGGAGGAGGGGGGCGGAGGAGGGGGAGGAGCGGGGAGGGGGAGGAGGGGGGGCAGCTTTAAATAATAATACAGTATTACCCGGGGTGCGTTCCTGAAAGGTGTGACGCATATTGAAACGAGGTGAATCAAAGCTATTCACGGGGTGAGCACGGGAACCTATTTCGCTCCGTAGGTAGCCAACCGTGCTAATCGAAGGGTAGGTGGTGGTGGTGGTGGTGGAGGCGAAGGCTGAGAGGCGATGGATAACGAGAAAGGACCTCCGATTAGCGCGGTTGGCTACAGTGAGGGAAAAAAGTATTTGATTCCCTGCTGATTTTGTACGTTTGCCCACTGACAAAGAACTGATCAGTCTATAATTTTAATGGTTGGTTTATTTGAACAGTGAGAGACAGAATAACAACAAAAAAATCCAGAAAAACGCATGTCAAAAATTTTATAAATTGATTTGCATTTTAATGAGTGAGATAAGTATTTGACCCCTCTGCAAAATATGACTTAATACTTGGTGGCAAAACCCTTGTTGGCAATCACAGAGGTCAGACGTTTCTTGTAGTTGGCCACCAGGTTTGCACACATCTCAGGAGGAATTTTGTCCCACTCCTCTTTGCAAGGTTTCGAGGCTGACGTTTGGCAACTCGAACCTTCAGGTCCCTCCCCAGATTTTCTATGGGATGAAAGTCTGGAGACTGGCTAGGCCACTCCAGGACCTTAATGTGCTTCTTCTTGAGCCACTCCTTTGTTGCCTTGGCCGTGTGTTTTGGGTCATTGTCATGCTGGAATACCCATCCACGACCCATTTTCAATGCCCTGGCTGAGGGAAGGAGGTTCTCACCCAGGATTTGACGGTACATGGCCCCGTCCATCGTCCCTTTGATGAAGTTGTCATGTCCCCTTAGCAGAAAAACACCCCCAAAGCATAATGTTTCCACCTCCATGTTTGACGGTGGGGATGGTGTTCTTGGGGTCAGGCAGCATTCCTCCTCCTCCAAACACGGCGAGTTGAGTTGATGCCAAAGAGCTCTATTTTGGTCTCATCTGACCACAACACTTTCACCCAGTTGTCCTCTGAATCATTCAGATGTTCATTGCCAAATTTCAGACGGGCATGTATTTGTGCTTTCTTGAGCAGGGGGACTTTGCGGGCGCTGCAGGATTTCAGTCCTTTCACGGAGTAGTATGTTACCAATTGTGTGTTACCAATTGTTTTCTTGGTGACTATGGTCACAGCTGCCTTGAGATCATTGACAAGATCCTCCCGTGTAGTGCTGGGCTGATTCCTCACTGTTCTCATGATCATTGCAACTCCACGAGGTGAGATCTTGCATGGAGCCCCAGGCCGAGGGAGATTGACAGTTCTTTTGTGTTTCTTCCATTTGCGAATAATCGCACCAACTGTTGTCACCTTCTCACCAAGCTGCTTGGCAATGGTCTTGTAGCCCATTCCAGCCTTGTGTAGGTCTACAATCCTGTCCCTGACATCCTTGGAGAGCTCTTTGGTCTTAGCCATGGTAGAGAGTTTGGAATCTGATTGATTGATTGCTTCTGTGGACAGGTGTCTTTTATACAGGTAACAAGCTGAGATTAGGAGCACTCCCTTTAAGAGAGTGCTCCTAATCTCAGCTCATTACCTGTATAAAAGACACCTGGTAGCCAGAAATCTTTCTGATTGAGAGGGGGTCAAATACTTATTTCCCTCATTAGAATGCAAATCAATTTATAACATTATTGACATGCGTTTTTCTGTATTTTCTTGTTGTTATTCTGTCTCTCACTGTTCAAATAATCCTACCATTAAAATTATAGGCTGATCATTTCTTTGTCAGTGGGCAAAAGTACAAAATCAGCAGGGGATCAAATACTTTTTTCCCCTCACTGTACGTACGGTGCGAAAGAAGTTCAACGCACGTACACACACCGCACCTCCGATTGGCACGGTTGGCTACGTACGGTGCATTAGGGGGTATGCCTGTAGCAACAACGAGTGAAGGTGGTAAAGGCGCAGCCCTGCAATTGCGTATTCATACCACTGCTGGCAGAAGGCCCCTCCCCCCACCACTAACTCTTGACAGCCCCCCTCTCGACTGCAGTCGTTCTCAACCGGGGGTACGTGGCAATGTCCCAGGGGGGTAACGGTGAGCTGATTTCTACATGCGGTGAAATAATATCATGCGTGGGAGAGTCATCGGTGACTAACCACGCACCGCATGAATCCGCCAAAATAAAACTACGCCGCGATGTGAATCCACGCGGTAACCTGGAGCGATACGTAAGAGAGACCTTTGTGAACTCGCTGATCGCTAGCAGTGTGGTTACTAAGAGCATATTACGTGGCGCGCGTGCAGAAGGGGGCTTCCGCTGAACGTGTTCGAGTTCGCTTGCGAGTTACTCTACCGATTAGTTCGTTAGTTTAACACTTAGTAGATATTTCGCGACCAATGTCAAAGTGTTTTGTTGTTGGGGAATATCGCGTAAATGTGTCCTTAAACCCACCACTACCACCACCCGACACAGCCAATCATTAAGGTTGTGTCACGTAAACAAAAAGTGACATTTAGTTACCAGCTCAGCAACAAAGCGGTGTGTTGGAGAGTAAAACCCACGACATTTATAATTCATGAAAACCTTTACTACGGGCTGTACATGTTAACACGTAGGCTTTTCGCGACCAATGTCATCCATAAGAGGGGTTTTGGGTGAGATCGCGCAAATATATAAATGTGTCGTTAAACCCGCCATCACCCGACACAGCCAACTAGTGAGGGGTTGTGTCACTTAAACAGAACGTGGCCAATTCGTCACTAGCACAGCACCACCGGTTGTGTGTAGGGAGCGCCATTTACAATCTGAGTACGACGTTTCGCCAGCAATTACAACTAAATTTCGATTTAAAGCTTTCGTGACTGCAAGTATTCATCTTCTTTGGTTCTTTCGGTAAAGTCACGTAGAATGAGAATAAAATAAAACAATAAAATTCTCACGACGTTTCGGACGGCTACTTGTGTTGTGGCCGAAACGTCGTGAGAATTTTATTGTTTTCTTTTATTATATTATTCTCATTCTACGTGACTTTACCGAAAGAACCAAAGAAGACAATTACAACTAGCTAGGAGAGAGCTCTCAAAACGGACAATGGGGGTGCATATAAATCATATACCTTCTTTTTTGTCTCGTACATTTATTTACCTCGGAAACCGTGGTGGGGTCAGGCAAGGGTGATGGTGAGGGGGCGACTGGGGGGCGGGAGTAACTCCTCACATTCATAATCGCGGGTGCATATAATTAATACGTATTTTTAATCTTAATTGTAAACTTACTGAAGATAAATTAATAAAGGTGTCCAGTTTGGAAGGGGCATTGCCCCCCTCCCCCCGACGAGACCACACCCCCCCCTCCTCTCCCTCTCGAGTTGTCCTCTCTCTCTCCGAGTCGTCCTCTCTCTCTGAGTCGTCCTCTCTCTCTCGAGTCGTCCTCTCTCTCTGAGTCGTCCTCTCTCTCTCGATTCGCCCTCTCTCTCTCGAGTCGTCCTCTCTCTCTGAGTCGTCCTCTCTCTCAGAGTCGTCCTCTCTCTCTCCGAGTCGTCCTCTCCCTCTCAGAGTCGTCCTCTCTCTCTCCGAGTCCTCCTCTCTCTCTCGAGTCGTCCTCTCTCTCCGAGTCATCCTCTCTCTCCGAGTCCTCCTCTCTCTCCGAGTCATCCTCTCTCTTCGAGTCCTCCTCTCTCTCGAGTCATCCTCTCTCTATAGTCGTCCTCTCCCTCTCAGAGTCGTCCTCTCTCTCCGAGTCCTCCTCTCTCTCTCGAGTCGTCCTCTTTCTCTCTCAGAGTCGTCCTCTCTCTCTCCGAGTCGTCCTCTCCGTCTCTCCGAGTCGTCCTCTCTCTCCGAGTCGTCCCCTCTCTCTCGAGTCATCCTCTCTCTCTCGAGTCGTCCTCTCTCTCTCTCTTGAGTCATCCTCTCTCTCTCGAGTCATCCTCTCTCTCTCGAGTCGTCCTCTCTCTCTCCGAGTCGTCCCCTCTCTCTCGAGTCATCCTCTCCCTCTCTCGAGTCGTCCTCTCTCTCTTGAGTCGTCCTCTCTCTCCGAGTCGTCCTCTCCCTCTCCGAGTCGTCCTCTCCCTCTCCGAGTCGTCCTCTCTCTCTCTCTCTCCGAGCCGTCCTCTCTCTCCTATCGAGAGCGAGCGGGACACTGGCTGACATCGGAGGCTCGTGGACAGGTTGACGCTGCGACTGTTACCATCGTAAACATGAGGCACGAAACGATGACTCTGATGCCAGTGGCAATTTGTGTGCGTGGTGTCTCCCTCTCTTTTGTTTTGTCTCCCTCTCACAAGAGGCACCACGCACGAGCCCCAGCTCAGCAGCAAGAAGGCAGCCGTCTCAAGCACTACCGGCAGAAGTGGGACCTGTGGGAGAGGTGTCACTCGTGTGCCACCGTGCCCCTGGCTGCAAGCTATCACGCAGCTCAGCAACAAAAGTGACCAAGGCACGCAACTTAATTCTTTAAGGCAGCCGGCGGTGGACTATCTGTTTACTTAAACACGTTCATATTGTTAATCCTTGATCGTTTCTGCGTGGATTAAATATCGGGCGTTCTATAGGATTCGGGGGGATGGGGTGAGTCAAGCGTGCTTAGGTAGGGGGGGGGGGTGATGTAAAAAGTCCGCGTGCGTACAGGGAGGGGTGTAGGGGTCAAGTTTTGACAGATTTTTGCGTATCTACTCAATGTATGGCCCCTTGCTGGCCGTGACCTCACTAACTCTACCACTATGAACCTCGCTAACTCTACCACTATGAATCTCACTAACTCTACCACTACTAACCTCACTAACTCTACCACTATGAACCTCACTAACTCTACCACTATGAATCTCGCTAACTCTACCACTATGAACCTCACTAACACTACCACTATGAAAATCGCTAACTCTACCACTATGAACC